GCGCTAGCTATCACAGAAAGTGCTGGTAAAAAAAAAAATTCGCCATGCTTTGACACTGCTGTTACTTGCGAACAGATCGCTCAAGAATAAACGGTTTGCGATTGAGTTTATCGATTTGCTGTTGCCCCTGACTTAGACGCTAATCCAAGGGTTCCTAATACTGGCAAAATGTTTGGTAATACTACGCTAGCTATCACAGAAAGTATTGGTAAAAAAAAATCCGCTATGTTTTGACATTGCCGTTACTTGCGAAAGAGATAGTTTATGAACAAACGGCTTGCGATTGAGTTTATCGAATTGCTATTGCATTATCGTTACCGAAACCGCTGTTTTATTTAAAGTCTTTATCTTCAGAAATATGATTAACAAAAACAGAACAGCGTTTATCAACCGCCGCTGACAATTTTTCAACTTGACCTGGCGTTATATATATTTCTTAAGTTGCATATTTGGTTTTCATTGTTTTATCTCATTGTATAGTCATTCCTCCATTAGTCGCGTCAATCGCCAAGAATCTATCACTTACAACTAGCGCACATACGCTATACTGTTCGGTTAGCAGTACGCCAAGTATCCATGTTACTTCAATATAAGCAGTCGATCAGATAGCTCGTTCGGAATGCTTTGATACGTCAAAATAAAAGAAGGGATAGAGTGAATGAAACTCGTCTACTGATATTTGAGATCCAATGTCCGCGTCCTGATATTTTTGCATTGCTTCCATGAGGTACATATACGGCTGAGATATGTTTCTGGTGGCGTCTAGGGCAAATCTGCATTCGATTGCAGTTTCGGGATATTGTTTGGAGCTTGCTCTAACAAATATTCGTCTAACATCTGGGTTATCAAATACGGAATTGTTCATTTCTTGATCGTTTCGACATGCCTGTCGTTAAAATACGACGAACAAGTGTCTCGGTAATTGCTCGCATGGCGTGGTTGTCACACACTATATGTAATCATTTGTGTTTGGAATTGTTGTTTGGTAAATCCTGTTCAGTTGAAAATATATATTTTTTTTTTGTATAAGAGGTCAATAATGATTCGAGTTCCATCGTTTTAGCTACAGAGGGGACAGATCGTGGTATCCACAGTACTAATCTTGTAATAGCAAATTGTCCTTCGGATACCCCATCCGCAAACATTATCCAATCGTTTTGATCAGCTCGATCTAAAATAAGCGTGTGCTTTAGTCCTCGAAAAACTTTATTGTATTCAAGACAAAATCCAAAGATTGGACGTAACGGAATCATCATCGGTATCTGGCGAAATTCAGCGGCAAATACTTTTCGTTTGGTAAATCCCTCGTTATATTGCTGTCGGCTTATTCTTATGACCGCCAATCTTATTGCGTCTCCAATATCACCAGCTGCATTATCAGAGGAATTGGGATTAGACTATTGTTATCTGCAGTAGGATTACAAGCACCAGTACGAAACTCGCTCGAAACCGCTGCCCCGAATGAGATAACTTTAAACCACGTCATGTTTGTGGCCACTGATCTAGAATAATCATCGTTAACGAGACAATGCTAAGTATTGTACTCGCTATAGGCACGTGCATTGAAATATATTCTACAGTTTGACTGTCCAGTTGATAACGTGCACTTTTAAACAAGCTCCAACCGTTATTGACAAGCACAATTTCTGCACCAGCTGAAATATCACCACATCGCAGTTAATATTTGACCACGCACTACTAACACTGCTTTATGCGACAGTAGAAACACGTCCTGGTCGCGTGCATTAAAAGATCTAACATCAGCTTAATTTGTTTCGTTTGAGTTTTCATCCAGATACTCGACGTATTAGAACTCTCTTACATCGTCGTCAGCATCAAATTCTTCAACAAGATCGAAAAAACTTTTAGCCGACGTTATTTCATAAACGTTACACAAAATTAAAAGGCATCAGGGGTTATTGACGTTGTTTTCTGTACAAGTTTACGTGCTATTCCTTCACCACAGCATTAAAATATTCTTTTTTGTTGTAGCTGTCATAGCTCGTTTTGATTCCGCTGTTGGCACAATATCTGATAGTGCTCGTTTAATTTCCGATGTGGTAGCTCCTCTGATCTTATCAGTCATCTTTTGTCTTTTTGCAGTGCCCGCCGAAGAAGCTGCACCCGTCGCAAAAGCTGTACCTGCGTCAAGTACAAATGGTGCTACTGAACGAAAAATCCCTGGAAAATTTTCTATAATTTTAGTAACTATGTTTCAATAACTTCCACCTATGATTTTTTTTCTTCTACAAATGTTTCTTTATCTCCTCTTCGTCTATAAAATGTATGCTCACTAATTGCTGCTCGCAAGTGCAAATAATACGTGAAACTTTAGTTGTTCAGATCTATTTGTCTACCCGATTGGTCTGTTAATTGCAATGTTATACTTGTTATTTCATTTTCGAGACTAATTGGATAATAATAACCTGACGTGGACAAATTTGATTGATAGATCCTTGTGTAACGTCAGGCGAAAAACTATATACCGTTTTGTCCTTTACTACCATGAGCTGAGTAAGATCCAGACACAATAGAGCAATTGATTAGTATTTTGTTTACGTCAGTTATATTTACTGACAGTTGACCGTCAAATGCTATGGTCTCTGATCGTGTTAGGATGACGTCTGGGGAGGGGTTGTCTCCAAGATGGTGTGTTTGGTGTGTTGGAAAAGATCTTTGAACAAGAATCAGCAATTTTTCCTACTACTGCCAATATATTTAGTTGAGGAAGACACCAGGAAGAACCACCCACGCACGGTAACCTACTGGCAAGGTTTCTCACATGTTCTGGTTGGTCAAGCCTGGACTAAACTCCACGCAGAAACAGTTGAGATGTAAGTGATCTGTAAAGGCGAACGCCTCAGACCACTAGTCAACCCGGAGTCCCACATCCAAGAGTGGGATGGAAGGAGATTAACTAATATAATTAACATTAGTTTACTCCCCCACACCCACAACAAAAAAGAAAAAAATACATTTTAATATCAGTAATACGTCACAAATCACGGTTGTTGAGCTGCTGAACTGTACGGGTGTAAACACTAAAGAAAAAATACCGTTAAGCCCAGATACTAAAACGCATTTATAAGCAACATTCCATGTCACGGATTGTGTAGCAACTACTAAACCGTAGATGATACCTAGGCTAGGGTTTGATGAGGACCGAAGGCAAAAAGAGATGGTTGTGTGGGATAGCCAAAAGTCTTCATAAGATCTTCCAAAGACGAGTGAATGATATAGTCTCAAGAAGAAGCAATAGCCCAACTTTATGGTCTCCTATCTTTGCGAATGAGAGGCCTGTCTGAGAGAGAGAGAGAGAGAGAGAGAGAGAGAGAGAGAGAGAGAGAGAGAGAGAGAGAGAGAGAGAGAGAGAGAGAGAGAGAGAGAGAGAGACAGAGAGAGAGAGCTAGCTATGAGTAGTATTGAATGTTCGTGATAATTTTATATAGAAATGACGGTTGATGAAATATTTGCCATGCAAAAATCGTCTTTTTGTGTTTCCATCTGCAACTCCTAAGTAGAACTTAAGGGCCCTAACTAGGCAAAGATCGTCCCCAGCACAGATGCGATTTAGAATGCGATTTCTAACGGGGACTGAAGTACCGATGTAAGATGCTTTTCGTTTGGTTTTGTTATTTATTTTGTCATTTTTGCTTCGTAAGAAAACCTGAAATTTAATCGTAATTTTCATAGTACATTCCTTCACTGTTAAAAAAAACCACCTCAAAACACAAACATGTAGTTCGCTTCTTCTCCGCGCTGAAACTACAGCTAAAAGAATGATGGTTTTAAGTATAAGATGCTCCAATTAATTCAATCAGAGGTTTAAAAGTATTGCTTATTATACTAAAACAAAAAAGCACGAAATTCCATCTTGGTACCAGTGAGCGAGACAATGGTCTCTAAAGCTTGAAGTACCTAGAGTTCAGTCTAAGGGCTAAACCAAAGGACTGACCTTTGGAAAATTTCAAATATTTGAAGGTCAGCCTCTAACTTTTAATGTGGAGACCGAACAAGATCTATCCTAAAAAGGAACAAATACAAATCTGCTACACCAGACATGGGAGGGGGCTAGGATTAATGTTTCCTAGTGCACAAATCACCAAAGATTCTCCACTTTACAAAATAGACCTAAAATGTAGGACGTCTCAGCGCCTGAACGATGCAGTGGGCAGGCAACCTTGCTTTAAAATTTCGCATGGTATATCACATGAGATGAGAAAATCTGGTGATTGGTGTGAAACAAAGTACATTTGTGTTATTAAAACAATTTCTTTTACTAAGGAAACATACAGGGCTGATATATCAAAGGTCGAGGTGATCGTTGAACCTAAACCTTTTGATTTCATAGAGATGATAGAGGAGAACCAAGCTGTGGAAATCTTGACCGTATGAAGTACATATGGAATCAAGCTAAAGGGAGGGAATGCATAAGCGAACAGTAGATCACAACTAGGGTTAGAGTCCACTCCCGTGCTTTTTCGGTCTGGGGAAATATGCATGAAAGTTTGTTGTCGAGTTTCGTGGCAAACAAATCCACTACATTTCTTTAACGGAATGAAAAGAGACTGCAAATATCTTGTCTTGATGCAGAGACCACTCTGCTCGGACTTTCCTGAAAGGTTACGAGCTCGGGAGTGTAATCCGTTCCCCACTCTGTCCAGCGTAGAATGTTTTCCACATCCACTCAGATATAAGGAGTTCTAGTACATTTCAGGGTGAAGACCTCAGTCCTGATTGTTTATGTGTAAGAGGTGGTGTTTAAGAGTTTTGAAGTAGCTTTAACAATTTTTCAGTCATATCGCTACGGTGTCTGCAGTGTGGCAGTTAAGAGTGAATTCTAGCACTGGAGCACCATGCCGCAGACATGTAGCATGATGTCCCACCCAGTCACATTATCCTGACACCAGGCCGACCAGTCCTAACACTAACCTCTTCTTGCTGAGCGTCAAGCGAGTCAGCTGTTAATATCATTTTTGTAAGTCTTTGCCTCTTTGGTATGACTCGACAGGGGATCGAAACCCACGACCCAACGCATCCAAGGCGGTGGCTCTAACCACTAGGCCACCAGAGCGGTTTATGTGTAAGAGACTCATCCTAGACCCAATGGCCCTGTTGAAGTACTCATTCTGACTCTAACAGAGTCTCACCACTCCGTGAATCTGACTCTTCGGTGTCGGGTTTGGGGACCTGCTCAGGACACCACAGCATCTTATCTCGACTTTACCACTACTTGGAATAACATCAAAAAGTCGACACTACAGAAATTCGATCTGAGAGCAAATCCTTGTGTGGTTTTTGAGCCACCAAGATGAGAGGGCTTAAATGCGGTCTCCCTTCTGTTACTCTGGCGTGTCCGTGTGCAGGTAAGACTGAGGGAAGTTTCGGACATGCACAGGAACTCCCATAAACATATTGCCTTGATTTTACCACTACAAGATGTGGTAGTACAAAGTCTATAGTCCAGCAAATCCTGGTCGATATTAAAAGTCTCAAAGCACAAAGGAGAACTGACAGCCCCTTATTTTGCCTCGCCAGTCCTTGTCCTTTTCCCATCCTCTGCAAAAGTTCTTTGCCCATAGATGAATGAGGAAACAAGATCATGGAGCATGTATGTTATAGCCCTCAACAATAATTGTTACCATTTTTTTAAAAAGATGCACTATCAAGAATGCTGCTGCTGCTTCCTCTTTTATTGAAGAGAGTGAAATCAATCATAAGTAGCTGTCACCTCCTCAAGGGTGGCAATAGTAGTTCTCTCCAAGAATATGCTGTCCCTCCCTCTTTTATTTAGGGGAGACAGTTGATGGATTATGATTGCATTGTTAGAACATCAGAATAAACTGGACATCTGTCCATTCATGTACACTTTGTACATGAAACACATGTGGTATGTGTGTCCAATGGGGCCTTTTTCTTATGCCCAATAAATTTTTTGCTGACCAAAACAACTGATGATGCACAATAAGATGGGTTGCATCAGCCTTGTTATCTTTGATATTTATTTGTAATTGAAGTTGGTCCAAAATGAAAATGGCGCCAATCTGACGGTTAATATGGCCACCACAGTAGCTAGCTATCTTGTAAATATTATCAATACTCCATTTAAACTGATGGTCATAAGAACATGTTTTCATTTCTGTTTTTGTTTTACTAAACAGCTTCTTATGATGTCTTGGTGGTTCTAAATAAAAATGTTGCTAATTTTCATACATTCATCTATTTCTTTGTCATAAAGTTATCAATGTCAATTGATGGGCAGTGAAAGGATATTGATATTTCACTCCAGTGAAGTATCAAAATTATTTTGGCAAGAAAATAACTAATTCACAGAAAATGAATGGATAATTATGACAACCAATTAGAAATTTTTACATATTCTAAAAGTCATTTTTGAATCCATGATGAATAGGTAGTAAATGGCTGAAAAATTATAATTGGACTATCAAAATGAATTTTTGGATAATTAAGGATTGAGGGATAGTGTTTCACTAATAAATAAATATGAATATCAGTTCATGATATAGCATTAGCATCTCAGTTTTATCTTTTTCTTTAAGTGAGGAAATTTTTTCTCCACATACTGACTTACCATGTCATCCATAAAAGAATGAGGACATGAGCTGATGATGGCAAGCTAAACGGAATATCCAGAACACGACAATGGTGTATCTAGCGTAAAGTTTTACCATTTCGGAAAGAGTAAGCTAAACAACTGTATGTTGTTACTGATATTAAATAGTGCATTAAATATTCCACCACACAAAAAGTGGCTCCATAGCTCACAGAATAATTAACTACATGTGAGCATGTGTTGATGCCGAACGGACAGACATCTATAATCCATAAGCTGAATTACTTTGCAACTTGGTCAAAACACGACATAAGCTAAATGCATCACCTTTTTTATATCAGAAGAACACTTTTCAATTTTCTGTAATATTTTCTAATCAAAAATACTATAAGGATTCATACAGCCCAGGAGAGAATTCTACAAAGGAATTGCAAATACTTTGAAGGAGTATTTTATCATTCATTATTTCAAATCTTATTTTTAGACAAAAAATAAACAATCCTAAATTTAGAATGTTATATATTTTATTCCATTTTAATGTTTACTTCCCTAAGATAAATTCAAGTTATTTTGGGGTAGGTGGATAAGAATGTTTTTCAAAAAATTACATTTTTGGAGGATAAAACATTTTAAATTTAAGTTTTCAAGGTAACTCATCAAATTCAAGGATTTTTCAAGGTTGTATGAACCATAGCTATGCCTTAAGAGAGTCTTTTGTCTTTATAATTTCTCAAATACATATATAGAAATAAAGGAAGGCATGGTGGGTTTTTTTGTTGGTGATTTTGAGAGGGCACTAGAAGAAGCAGGTCTCTTGGTAAATTTATTCTTTTCAGGCAAACAAATTTTCTACAAATGACATCCCAACTTTCTCAAACTTGCATAAAAATTCCAATGATACATTACTTTCGCTTTTTATAATCCTCATGATACAACCACTTGGTCTAACACTGCCAATTTTTATACTATGCTATACTTTGTTTCCCTGGTAATGTAAATAATATACTGAATGCAGAAAATTCTAAGCATGACAAGGTGCTTTAAATGTGTACCAAATTTGGTTGAAATACTTTTAAAACATGGAGATTTATGTTCTGGAGATAAAATTGCTTACAGATAGACCTAGGGAAATAAAATAAATTCATCCAACACAGCATTGTGAATGATATCCACATCTGTTTCTCATTGAATTTTAAAGTCAGCATCTTGAAACGTAACTAAAATTACCATATTCATTTCATGCACAAATGATTTAAACATAATTCATATCGACATACTGTACAATACTATTCACTCGATACATGCTAAAAAGACTAGTCTCTGTACACTGATTGCCATGTTTGTTTTGGACAAGTCCATATGTGAAACTGCAAAGAAATCAAAATGAAGGCAACTACATTATAGCCAATAGGAAAGCTAATCACTCCTAAATAAACAAATCAAATCCTCCACAAGTCATGGACATCACTACGATGTCTGCAGTGTGGCAGTTTATAGTGACGTTTAGCACTGGGGCATCATGCCGCAAACATGGAGTATGATGTCCTACCTAGTCATATTATCCTGACACCAGGCCAACCAGTCTTAACACTATCCTCTTTTAAGCACCAAGTGAGGCAGCTGAAAGTACCATTTTTCTATGTCTTTGGTATGACTCAGCCGATTATCGAACCTATGACCTTTCGCATCCGCCTTTAGCATGTATTTAATGAGATGCTCTAAGCTCTATGTCGATTCAAACTGTTATTATCATGCATGATGATTTGCAGAATGATCTATAATTACTATATCCACAACCATCCCCCACCCCCTCATATTACACCAGGGTGAATACAAATCAGTTACACATTAGGCTGAATCATTCAAGTCAAAATTTTACCATGTAAATCTTTATTCATCTTACAGCAAACCAAAGTTACAATGGTATTTTACCAAAAGTTCAAATTATATTTATTATGATATTTTATTATATATTATTTTAGAAAAAAAATTACAAAAAAACCCACAGAAGCATAAATGTATAGAAATCAAATCTGAAATTTATTTCCTAATAAAGTAAATGATGCGGTGTAATAATCAATTGAAATACATTCTAAATGGAATAAAAACAAAGTATCTTTTTTAAAAATAAATTATCAAAATCAAATAGAAGTCCATAATGAAACAGTGAATCAATAAGTCATACTACTAAAGTACTTTGCATAAAAGTTTGAACAACTAATGTATAACACGATCAAAGTATTCAGACAATGGGAGACTACTTGGACAAAATCAAACAGCACTAGGATACTCCAATCTGTTGATTGTCAGTCTGTTAAACAACACTCATCTTTTTAACAAAAAATTTAGGTTGATTGAAAGAATAATTATAATGACTAATTTGATGTTGACTGAATGAATGCTTATTGTTAAATGTAAAAGAAGTCTCTTTGCATTCTGTATTGATTTTATACATTACAATTTGTGTTTACCATCGAGCATGTCAAGCTGAGGTATACAAGTTATTCCTCTCCTGCCAATTTCTAAAATCATAAAGTCGACAACTGACCACATGATTGTTATGACACAAATGAAAATTCAGTGTTTCTATTAACAAAGTACTAACTTTTCGGATGCCAAACTATGTTTTATTGGGTCAAAACAATGTACTCTGAAAATCAATTACATGCTGTAAATTGCTTCTACTGCTTGAAAGAGGTTTGAACAGAGACTGTCAGAAAGATGCAACACCAGTGAATTGATCCATTACCTTAGCCAAAATAACCATGCCATCAAATATCATACAAAATAAGAGTATTTTATGTCAACACCTACCCCATGTGAATTTGTGTTATTATCTTAGTATATAACAAAAATTTCATGAAAAATGTCTTAATAATGTTCAAGGTGTGATCATTCTGAATACAATGGCAGTCAGCTTGATGAGGGATATTAGGCTTGAATATCCAACAAACATCTAGTGTGCCAGGTAAAGCTTCTTGTGTTTTGCAATTATATTATTGGCTGATCACAGGTATCAGGTATGCATTTGGGTCTGTGTGAGAAAGCAATAGGTTAATTATGCAGGCAAATCAGATATTTTCATTTTCATTACAATAAGAATTTCTTTCTAAATGTGTTCTTGCCATTAGAGTTTCTTTGCAAAAGTTTTTCTAATGGATCTGCAGCAATACAAGCTAAGTGTGTCTTTTCATGTATCAGCTACCATTTTTCTTTTATATAATGCCTGTATATCTACAACTCCTATTTGCCATTCCAAAAGGCACTAGGTTGGGGTCTTCAGTATTCATTCTACTTGTAATTTCCAACAACAGTATAACCTTAATCTGCAGACGCTTTATGCAATGGAAGGTAGAGGCCTATATCTTTATCAGTAAGGTTCATTATGTAAATGGACGAATGCAACTATGTTTTACTATAGTTAAAACATGTATTCATTAGCATTAGTCTTTATTTGTTCAAGCTTTGTTTCAAAGAGATGAGTTTCAAAATACTGCATT